TTTTATTATGGAGGTATTTAAATATTTTATATAAAGGTTTTTCAAAAATAAAAGAATAGAGATAGTTTTTATATTTTTATGGAAGCTTATTTTATAATATTTCTGATTTTTTTTTTAGATATTTAATTACTATTATTAAATGATAATTACTTACCAATTACTTCGGCCGGCACATCGACTCTCTGCGTATCGCATATCTGACACAAGAGCAAGAGAATCACCAAAGTGTGTATTGAATATGCCCAGGCATTGGCCGATGCACGTCTGTTGATGTATTTGATGAACATTTCGTAGTTGTTCGTGTTATTCGATTTTATTTAAAACAGGAGCACAGTTCACATGTTTAGTCAATTGGCGTTGTTCACAGCTGTAACTGAATGGAATGCGAAAATGTAAACTTGAACTCTGGCAGAGGCTGGCGTGGGGGGTTGAGCGAGGCTCAGTGACCTAGGCTTCCGGTTGGGCTGTTGGACTGCTCTCAATAAACATTTCCGACCTGATAATTGGCAGTCATTAGCGCGCCTCTATTGGCATAAAGTTTCGGTTTTGCTGTTGTTATTTATGCGTGCAAACAGCGAAAAGTTCAACAGCAAGTACTTGAAAATAGAATCGAAACTCGCCAAAACAAAGGCACAGGCAAAGACTAGGCAGACCAGAGCCTACTGGGCTAGGCTGGGCCAAACTGGCCTGCTGACTGGGTAAACAATCGTAATATGCCGTCGAAAATGCGCTAAATTAAAAAGTTTCAAGTTTAAAGCGCCCATTGGTACCCGTTGCCCGCTTTCCGCCTTCCGCTATACGCCTTCCGCATGCCGATTCCCAGTTATTCTCCTGCCAACTCCTAACTATAATATATGCCGGCTATCAGCTCTGGTCGAGGACTTGAGGCTGCCAGCTGTAAAAGAGTTTTGCGTGCTCGGCCTCGGTAAATTGTATAGGCGAGCAGCTGTTTGAAATTAACTCCGAGCTGTGCAACTATCTGGCGAAGGTGTTGCATGTTGCTCGACCTCGATGGCCTCCCCCTTGTTGTTCCTGTTGCCTCTGCTCATTTCATTTGGCCTCTGCCTTAGCCAGGGGCCCAAACTGTTTATGGAACGGAAATGAAATGTTTCGTTTGTGCCGCATCGTCCATATGTGCTTGTGTGTGTGTGTGTGTGTGTGGGCTGCCTAGCTGTATCGTGTGGATCGTAAATAAAGCATAAAATCGTACAGCACTCTATATAGAAGTCGACTTTCGTCTGAGCCTGGAAATAGTTGCGCTTTATAGTTGCATTCGCCGTTTCTATTACCTGCTCTTAGGCAGGCAGCTGAGTGCATGTGACATGTTGGCCATATATATATGTATATAGATATAGTTCTGACGCAATGCAGCTGTAATTGGATGCCGTTGCATAGGAGCATAGCACTTAATCACGTTCAATTTTCCGAGATAGCACAGATAGCATTCTAATATTCGAGTAGAAGTTTTGATGGCTCATTTTGATGGCATTGCCAGTTGATGCGATCTGCAGTCGATTAATGAGCAAAGTGAATGAAGACTTGCACTGAGTAAGAGTGAGTTGATCTTCGGCTGTTTAGAGTCAAATATATACACAGCATTGCACGAATGCCACTCAAAACAGTATGTTGAGTGTCATTGAAGCTAAGTCGGAAGCAGTTTGAGTGAAAGAGCTCTTCGTCCGATCAAAAACAAATTGAATCAACAGTTGAGTAAATCAGTTACTAAGCTTACATACAAGCATCAAAATGATCATGCATAGAAAGAGAGAGCATACGGATATGGAGTGAGTAAGGCAGAGAGGGAGAGAAGGAACGTTTATATCACGACTACTTCAACTGTCTGTCTGTTCAGTTGTCTTCCTCTTATATTAATATATAAACTGAGTTTTTAAATTGAGGACTAAGAAATGACTTTAAGGTGCAATTTTTAATAAGCTTGTTAATTAAAAATACAAACTTAATAAAAAAAAAAAAAAAAAAAAAAAAAAA